CGATATTAGACCTATGAGATTATTTGAGTTAGACGCTAGGCAAAAGTAGGTTATGTGACGCACGCAAGATACCCCTTATCCCAGAATTCCCTCAGTCTTACGGGTGGAAATCACAGGAGCGCAGGAGAGGGAAAGAAATAGAGCACACAAAAACAAGAAATAGAAAATCAGCTGTTATAATAATCCAATGTATACAGGTAACAAGCACGCGATAATCGAAAAATTAACAAAAGCAATTTGCGACCATTCGGACTCGAATAATCGAACGCGAAATGAATCAGCGGTTGCGTAGGATTCGATGCAGGCAAGTCGTTGCTGGTTACTAAAGGTTTCCGTGTGGGAAGTACAATGTGTGTATAGGCGACGTTAACGGGTGTTGGACTGCTTTCGCGGTGATCGATATGCATATGCTGCTAGCTGCCGGGTGGGTCAGGCAAATATCGATCGGTCTGGTCGCCCACAAATTCTATTAGCTGCAACACGCAAAAGCGCATGATACGAAGCGCCCACGCTGAATAACAAAACCGTAACCTTTGAGCAAATAAGATACTCACGGCCTGACGGTAGACAGAATTGGCTGACGGAGAAAACAGGTGTGTGTGCGTGTGTCAAAGTCTTTCTCCTTCTCACTCGCTTCTTCTCTCCTTCCCCCTTCTCTCTCTCTTTCTCGTTCCTTGCGCAACCTGCTCTATCATGTTCATCTCCGATCTGTTTTTCTTTTCAGCGTTGCGTCCATCCCACCTCGGGCGGCTGACAGCTAGGCAGTTGCCTGTTGCTGGCAGTGGAGGAGAGAATGAGGTAGACCCTGGGCGCGCTTCTTTCTTCATTATAATCAAGTTAATGCGCTTGAATCTATCGCGGTGCGCTAAAAGCCGTGGCTTAGAGGGTTGCCAACTGACGGGACAACTCGGACACCGCAGTGTGTCTTGTTGTGTGGTGTGGCTGTCTGCGGTCTGAGAGTCAGATGAGATGGCTCCTTCTTAATGTGGCCCTTATGGCGCTCCCTGTCGGGAGCATACCTAGCGAGACGTGCTGTTTGGTACGCGTGTTGAATATTTGTCGCGCCAGACGTCTGCGCCCCCCGCATTTTTCCGGCCTTCTTGACTCTGTCTTGACACCGGTTCCCGGTAGACCCGGCGTGTTTACCTTCACTATAATCAGCCACAGTCACCGCGTGCTTCAACTCGCTGAAGCTCACAGTGGATATATTCGACATCGACGGTCGAACGATCGTGTGTCAAAGTCCACAATCACCCAAACAGACGTGACATGGCAGCAAGGTGAGTATGGCGTTGCTCAAGGGACGGTAAAAAAGACGCATTGCAAAAATCAACTGTCCTGTAGTCAGGCTGTAACTCCGGGTAGCTCGCGCAGCCATTCTAGCTGCCCCAATGCTTCTTGTTGACATAGTACGGGCCGATTAACCTGAGCAGACCGTGCAGCAATGCGCTACCCAGTAGCAGAACACGTCC